ATTTCATGCCAGACAGTAAAACAGATTTCATGATTTTTACAATAAAGGCTTTATTTCTTGTTGCAATTTATTAAAAATAAGTCTTATAATTTTAAAGGAATTGGGGAAAAGAATAAAAAGGAATGAATGTGAATTTTTATATATACAGTTCAATAGAAATACCGAGCTTAATTATCTGTTTCTATTAAAACCCGAAACTTTACGTCACTCCAGTTTATTAATTATTTATCAGTTTTAATTAAATAAAAATCATTAAAAAGTGGTATTCTATATATTAGCTTCTTAATGATTTTTTCACCTAAGAACGTAATACATTAGTTTTCTTAATACAAGTAATATTGTGGTTAAATAATTAAAAATTAAATTGATTAACTTGTTTTACAAAAAGCAATTCATTAATGTTTTCAAATTTAATATAAAGTTATAATATTTAAAATTTAAATTTTAAATTATAGTTATCAATGTTTTAAAATTATTATTTATTTTAGGAAAAATTAAATTTTAATAATTCTTTTTTAAAATCAATACAAATTTATATTAGAAATTCTAGTTATAATTTTTTCCTTATATATTTATTTAAAAAATTTAAGTCTATATTTTAAAACTAGTGACTATAAATTTATTTTTTATTAAAATATTTAAAAATATATTATTTATAATTTATTAAAATTTTTATTTATTAGTTAAATAAAAAATTAATCAAATTAAATTTACAAATAGGCTTATGTTATTTTAATAATTGAAAATGCAATTTAAAAAAAGTTAAAAATTTAATTAATTGCTTTCACTTATCGGGTTTCTTAAGGGTAAAATATTTATTTGCATTCTTGGTCTGTGTTCTGTTTTGGAGACATTGTTTTCTTTCTTCGCCGAATCCTGTCCCATGGTCCCCCTCATAACTTTCTCTCTTTCTCCCCTCTCCCTAGGCTCTCTCCCCTCATCCCTAGGCCTCTCTCAGGTAAGCAGCAACACCAGTCTTGAGAGCAACTGAAGAAAATTTAGGTCCCTTTAAATAGAATTTTTCAAGAACATATTACATCCAGCGATGATATTTCTATGGCATCATGTACGATCCAAGTTACAAAATGTAAGCTCAATCAGCCTGGATGACAATGGGAACGCATTAGAAGAATTTTGTTCAAATATCATCCAGGAATGAATAAAATTTTAATCGCTGTAGATTATTCAAATCACAGTTTATTTTGACGCAGGACATTCGCATCGGAAAGGGAGGTCCTGGACGAATTCAAAATCTAGCTTGATCGTCTGGGCCGATCTCACGATCATTTTAAAATGTTCTCTGATGATTAGTTCAAAACCACAGGAAAATCATCTAAACTCGCTCGAAAAAGAGCTGGCGATGTTTGATTTGTCCAGGAGCAACCAATGGATTTTTGAAAACTGATCGTTCCCGGAGCGATCTGGGATCGTTCAAGAATGCTGATCATATCAATCAAGCCTTAATACTGTTTCTTAATTACCAGATTAATTCTAGGCATATTGTGGTTTAAATTATTTCAGGCCTATATGATGGTGCCGACTGGCTGATTATCACAAAAATAAATCTTTACTAAATGTTCTGGCGGCTGATCTTGTTTTTTATTTGATCTTACTGTCCTGGCCGATACAAGGATTGTCCAGTGAGATATGCCTTATGACGGCTGCCTTAACGGCAGGGATGTCTAAATTAGGGTTTCTATTTCTTTAGACGGATTGTCTGGCTAATAATGAACATTGTCTAGGATCACTTGTACTCAAAATAAAAAATAATAGAAAACCTCCAAGTGTCCTGTGTGCAAGGTTACTAGCATGAGGATCACTTTGGGTATATATAGACTCAAAAAAGGAAAATTTACGAACAACTCAAACGGAAATTACCCATCTTTGAGCTGTGGCTCTGAGTTGCACTCAATCTTGGTGGGACCTGAAAAGTTAATAGATCAAGAGCATCACAAATATATTATGAATGTTTTATATCATCAAAAGTCCTATTCGATAAACTTAGGATTTTTTGCAGGCAATCTCCCCTTTTTATGAATGGCAACATAATTATTTAAGAAAAGTTTATGCATTTATGACAGTCTAATGGAAAATAGTGTAACGAAAATGCCAGTTTACTAATTCCAGGAATCAAAAGTACGAATGTACAGTAGACATACTCTTCCTTTTGAATTCACAAAAAGGGAGGAATTTAAGAAATAGAAATAGAAACTAAACAACCTATTAGAAAACAAACCCTGAAGAACAGTATAAAAACAAAATACTAAAAAAATGAGGGACCCTGATGCATCAAGCGAGGGGAGGATGTGTGGTGGTGGGTAACCGAAAAGTATTGGTCAACGTGGCAAACTGGAATCCAAAACCAGGCAATGTTCCCTGGTCGTCGCTGGTGTTTAGCAGATGATGATAATCTATATAATTGCTGCTCCTGTGCCGTAACATAGGTCCTCAAAGTGGGTCCTCCCACTGATCAAATCTCTCCACCACTGAATCCACGCCTGAGAGGTGTGGCGGATGAGGAACATGTGTAGGGGATGATAGGAGCCGCATGAGTTGTCCTCCTCTCAGCCCCCTGAGCTTCCTCATCCTTACGGTGAAGTACGAGTACTGTGAAGGGAGCGTTGAATCCGGAACTGTTTGAGTAGAAGGGTGGCTGAAGGTCGGGAGGAGCAGAATAGTTAAGGGTTCTGTATTTGAAGTTCTAGGAATATAAGACAAGCGTGTCGCTAGATGCAAGATATTGGGAATCCTTCTATGACATGTGATCTCGAATTGTAGTTTCAAATGTTCGATATAGAAAAGTTTTATGGTCGTTGAATTGAATTCACGATTGGCCCATGATGAAAAGGTGGTTGAGCTGAGAAGAAGGGGAGTGATATCGGATTTGGTCGCACAGCTTTGGGAATCACAGAGGTGCGAAGGACGTGGCTCGGATCATCCTAGCAAAGAATTTGGTAGGAACTAAAGTAAACTAAGTAAAGTGATGATTTTGATATCAAAATTCAATAAAGTTAAAATAAGTTAAAAAATATTTGTGGTAGTAGATATTCGTTATATCAGAAGTAGAAAAGTAAATTATAAAATATATAATACTTTAGTTTTCAATTATTGATTAAATTCAATTTTTTTTACATAAAGTAATAAAGTAATCTAATAGCTAACTGAATACAACAACCCCTCTAAATAAAAAAATTTAAAGATAACATTTGAAAAATGACATAATCCTAAAATATTGCATTCAAAATTGATTTATCTAAAATAAAATTGAACAAAGTATCTTACAAATTTTTAGTTAACTCCAATATCTCGAGTGGTTTTGTTGGCTTTAAGTACTTGAAAAATCATTTTATTTGAAAAACTTAATATTCATTGAAGAGATAATAGTAGTTAGAGTCATGATAACAAGTTATATTATATAAGATGATAGCTTGATTTAAATATTTTTTCTTTCACGTTATAAGCAATTAAGTCATGTTAGTAATGTAATAATCACAAGGCATGCATGCATGGCTCATGCAGTGAAAAATTTATTCATGTTTTTATGGCTTCATAAACACACCAAAAGCATGAATGCATGCAATAGTTTATGTATTACGGTTGCTCATTAACAGCTTAAATTAATGAGAATAAATCGAGCTGGAACCCCTTCTTCCCATTTTCATTTCTGCAAATTCGTTACCCTCTCAGCGACTGATCACCACCCTATTGTTTTTTCTTTTCAAAAATAGAAATATCCCAGTAAATAGAAACCTCATGCAGTAAACAAGCAGTTAAATTCAGCTCCAGATCTTCAATTTTATGAACTAATTCAATAAGTTATATGTCATGTCATTGATACTCATATCCTGATGAAGCTCAACAATAGGCTTTAGACATATATAAATTGTTCAGATGTAGTTTAAGGATATTGATATATTATGTTATTACTAGTTCAATTTGTGTGAATGTTTATGTATATATTTGTATTAGAGCCAGCTAATCAATACTAATCTGTGAATGAAGGCGATTCATGCTAAGCAAAGATATGCATTTTTATATTATATAATGATTTCTAAATTATATATTTATGTATTAAACTTCATGTTTCAATAGGGTTTTAGCAGCGCTTCCTTTTTTTACCAACCGTAGTGCTTTAAAATGCCACTAAATTCATTGCAACTTTTTACTGACTGCTACAAATTTATTGTATTTGTATTCACCAGAAAGGATTGCTGCAGTCAATGCCAAAAAATAGTATTTTTCAAATCGGTTATTATGAGCGGTTTTTAAACCGCTACAAAAATACTTATTTTGCATCAGTTTTAACCGGTACAAATTGCACCGGTTAAAACTGGTGCAATTTACACCGGTTACAATCGTTCCTAAAACCCCACCCACTATTCTTAAACCGAATCCCTAATTTCTTCTCCTCGATCGTCTTTCGTTCATGACTCTACGCCTGGAGCGAACTATCGCTCAAGATTCGTAGTTCTTCTCTTCACGGGTGGACCATTTCCCGGCAGGCCGGCCCTTCCTCATTGTGAGTCGCTACCCCTTCTTCTTCTTCTTCTTCTTCTTCATATTCTTTCCCCTCTTCTTCCCATTCTTCTTCTTGTTTCTTTACCTTAATCCCTAAAATCAGAAAAGGATATTTTGTGATCTGTCTTAAAACTTAAACCCAAAGCTTATTTCAATCTTTTATTGAGAAACTAGATAATGTCTTCAATGATTGACAACAATGTTCTAGAGTTCACCATGGCGCCTCCCCAATCTCATTATTAGCTAAGTTTTCCTCATGCATTTTTTAGAGATGTTAAATTAGCTGCTTCCAACTCGATTGTTACTGTTAGAGATATTCATAGGAATTAATCCCTAATTTTTGTAAATGAAGAAATGTTTTATTCGTAGGAATTAATCCCTAATTTTTGTAATTGATCTCGCTTGTTAGCATTGGAGTAATGTAAAAGTTAAACTTTGAAAACTTATAAACTAGCCTTATATAATTCTCAAGACAGTCAAGTATGCTATGAAGATACCCCATGTAGAGAAATATTTTTCTCTTTCTTTTTAGATAACTTATGATTTCGGAGATTCTTGCATTAGATTGGAAGTAACCTTGATTGTTCTAATCCAAATTATTTGGTTGAAAATGACATAACTAACAACATGAAGGAGACAATGTTTAGAAGCTTTTAAGAGGTTACAATTCAACTCCACCTTCTCCATTTTATATTGATAGTGTTTTTTGCTAAATTGCCCAACATAAAGGGAAGGAAATCCCATGCAGCTTGAAAAGTTACATTAGATCTTTGGAGGGGACCTTCAACTTAAGTTTATGGGTGACACATATCTCTTACAATGCAGAGGAAAATCATTATTTAAAAGCATTATTCTTCTAGAACTACAAGAAAATCACCCAAAACCGGCGGTTTTTGCCGGCGGTTTGGGTGAAAAAACCGGCGGTTTTTGAAGCTACCGGCTGCTTTTCGGCGGGTAGTGAACCGCAGGAAAAAATGGCATAGGAAACTATTTTTCGGCGGTGTTTACCGACGGCTTAATTCGCCAACGGCGTTCCGGCGGCTTAAACCGCCGGTTATTCCATTGCTTTTGTGCTGGCGGTTTTCCGGCCGACGTACCGCCGGTCAAGATACCGACGGCGTACCGGCGGTCCTGCAACGAAGGCTTACCAGCGGTTTCGGCGGTCGGCGTGAGGATACTTAACCGCCGGGTTGCGTCGGTAAACCGTCGGTAATTCACCGGCTATTACCGATGGTCAAGACCGACGATTGTAACGGCAGTCTAGACCGCCGGGCTTTCAACGGACACCGCCCGGCTGCCGTCGGGTAACTGCCGGCATATTACTGGCGGTTTAACGAATGTACCGACAGCTGTTGAAAATCCGTCCGGTATCGTCGTTTCCGACGGCCAAACCGCTGGTTAGCCGCCGGAAACCTGTAGCACCAGCAAAAAAAAATTGACAGCCTCCCCTCTATATGAGGGAGGTTTACTCTAGATTCTAAAACCTGCAAAGAAAATAATATATAACAAGATTTGGGCAACATGCCGCTATATTCACAATAATATACATAAGCACAACCAATATTTAACATTACATAAAACATAAGTTTAGAAGTTTACCAATGATAAGCACAACCAATATGTTCAACAATAAAACATAAGATCACACATTCAGAATTTCACAACTTTACAAAGTCACAATAAACATAAGTCACAAGTTCTACTCCTCATTTGTATCCTCGCTGTCTCGAGATGTTCGTCACTGATCTTCTTCTTGCTTCCTCTGATTTTCAACTCTGTAGGATTGCAGCTCTGCTTGCATTTCACTTTAAACCCTTCTCATTTCTTCAATCTCTCTAGTCAATGATGTAACCCTCTGACTCACAGTTTCTTCAACTCCAGTACTTGGATCATAAAATGCTGAGGTGGATGAACTGCCCTCATATGCATAGCCCTGTGAACCCAAGCCGTATATCCTCCCCTTCTGTCTTCCACCTACAACATCAGACCAAGTATGATACTTTAAAGTGTGGGCTGATCCTGAAGATGATCCCTCGCTAGTGGAATGGCGGCTTTCTCGAGCTCGTACAAAATCATCCTACGAGATTACAGCTATAAAATAAATTGTAATTTGATATTACAATTAGTTTTATTAAAATAAATGTTTATTCCAAATTTCCAAAAAAAATTACTCACATGAGCATTCTTAGCCTTTTCATCAACCCACTGATGATCAGCTTGATGTTGATGAGTTCTTGTATGTAACTCAAGTGGTGTTGTCTCTCGACCAAGGGACTGTTTCTGAAAATTTAAGAAATAATTATAATCACATAAATATATTTAATAAACTAATTTAAAACTCTTACCAGTCGCTGCCTATGTTTCGTATGAGGTACCGATCCACCAGTATGAAGAGAGCTCCCTAAACCTCCACAGTCAGAAGCTCTTTTCTATTTATTCTGTTATCTCATTTTTATAAACTCAGGGGTCGCCCAAGCACTACTTAAATCAGCCCAAACGCCCTCTCCAATCCAATTAGGATGCTTCCCAGACTTTCTAATGTCCGTGAACATGTCCCTGAGATGGGTCGCTCCTCTCCTCTCAAAATTTGTTCTGATCCTCGTGCTGTGCTCAGGCAACCACCTAAATTCTTTATGTAAATATTTAGGCAATAACAAAAAGATTAGTACAAATTAAATTACATATTTAAAATCATACCAAAAAAAGTATACCTGAAATTCTCCAAATCACATATCTCTAACTGGCTTCGGGATCTTCTTCCAGGATAAGTAAGGAGCATCATATTTATTCTTTATTATATTCCGGATCATATGTCTAGGTGGCCTTGAAGGATTGAAGTTGCCGGTAACATTTTTTTCAATAACATGTAATATATCAAAATAAAAACAACTTAATAACTTAAATTGAACTTACTTATCGCCCTCGGGCTCAATATATTGACGCTTATCTGTTGCAGCTGCATAATCGCTAGCGCCAACCTCTGGTGGTTTTCATGGTCCACCCTGTTCATACTGCACCGAATAGGGGTAGTAATATGGGTAGGGGTAAGGAGGACGTGGACTAGTGGATGGACCTGCTACCTGTGATGATGGTGGAGGGTAATATAGATAGAATGGAGAGGCATGTGTCTGATCTAGAGAGGGGTAGTGAGGACTCGTCAAGGGAGGAGGGAAGTGGCCAGGGAAGTATGGAGGTACAACAGCAGGTGGATCTAATTGACCCTGACCCTGCTCACTCGGGGAATGCTGCTGGCTCCTAGCAGGTGGTGGCGGTGGTGGTGTAGGTGGATCTTGTTGAACTAAAGGCCCCTCACCTTCATCAGGCTATGTGGCATGCTAGTAGTAATCTGCTTTTGGCGGAACTTTGAGGCAAATGATTTACAAGGAGGATCGTCGCCTGAAGCCATCTGCAATATTAAAAAAAATAATTAATAAAGCATTGTAAATAATTAATAAAGTAGGTAATGAATTACGAGAAGCAGTTAATAATGCAGGTAATGAATTACAAAAAATAGTTAATAAAGTAGTTAATGAATTACAAAAAGTAGTTAATAAAGCAGTTAATGAATTACAAAAAGTAGTTAATAAATATAAGTTGAAAAATAATTTAATTTTCTACCAACTAAACATCATTCCAATAATCTAAAATAAAACTTTCGTTAACTACCGTCAAAGCCCCTCCCCAACCCGCGCCTTTCTCGTTCCCTTAGCCTAGGGGTATCATAATCGGGTTTCGAGCCGAGTTCAAGTTAAAACTGGAGCTGACCCGTGTTCAAATGAGTTGACCCTATACCGACCCAATTTTGTAAATGGGTTGAAAGCTCTGATGCGGACCCTGCTTGTTGGGATAATGGGTTGACCCGACCCGACATGGTAACCCAAATTTTACTGAGTCGAGTTACTTCAGAGAGAACACTATGATCCATTGAAGAAGAGGTCAATCTTTAACCATTTAGAGTAGCTGACAAGATTTCTGACAATGAAAAGCATATATCGTTCACTAGACTTGAGTTCCACTGGCTTCACTCGGACCTCTTTGGAGCTGACATAGACATGTTGATTGACATGCTAGTATCGTCGAAATCAACACTTTTTAGTACTCTCATTGACCACAAGCCCACACCCATCTCTACCAGTCATTCCTTTGATATCCCGCACTCAACTCGCATAGTCATACAATGATATACTAAGATTAAAAATTAAGATAAAAAAACTTAGAATTAACCTGCAAGTGACTTTTCACTTCATAATTAGTCAGCCCGTCAACCTTCATCAGTTCTCTGATTTGTTTTAGAGTTGCTACTGCAAGAGAAAAAAAGGCAACACACCTTTAATTTGATTTAGTCTTTTAAATTTTTGAATAAGCAAAAGATCTAGTCTAGTTTTGCTACCTAGCTCCTTTGAATCTTAGAAAGATAAAATTCTAATTCAATTACAGAGGTAGGAATAAAAGCTACATGCTATAAGCACCTCCAAAAAATATGTTTTTTCTTCAGATAATGATAATCACACACTAAAGGAGGATACCGTATGAATTCAATCGCCACCCTTGAATTTCAGATTCCATTTCAATCACAGTAGCATCACTAAAAACCACAAGCCAAGAGCCTTAAAATTATTACAATTATTTTTTTTCTGATCATTACACATCAAAGTAAAAAACTTTTAAAGAATTCAGTCACCTTAATGTTTCACTTTATGAACAAAATTATTATAACATTCCAATCTAACCTTGCGCACTGCCGAGTTGCTGAAGAGCAATGATGAAACGCCCGTGCAGCTCCGGTGACCAGCACCGCCGTACTTTTCTCTGCGGATGCTGCTGATACTGCTATTGTGGCAGCAAGCCTAGCTGGTCATTTCTAGTGGAAGAGGATGATATTATCACTACCTTCGAGTTCAATCCACTGCTGTGATTGTCTTCTTCCGTAGCAACGGCGATAGGAGCTGAGCAAGGAACCTTGATTGGCAAAGGCATGAAGGAAAGATTCGGCAACGAGATGCACAGCTTCTCCTCTTCCTTCCTAGGCGCTGGCACGGCTTTGAACGATAAAAATGCGATGCCACTTTTGGATTCCAGAGACAGGGCATCACAGTCCCTCTGACTGTGGGATCCTTCATCCTTCTTCTACTAAAATCCCACAAAGCCAATCTTTTTCAGAATTAGCAAAGAAGGAAAACGAGGGGGGAAAATGATCAATTCTTAGATGAGCACCTCTTGGGAATCTTCCTTGCAATTGATGCTTTCATAGCTCAAATTATCACTCTAGAGCTGAGCTGAGCTCATCCACCCCATCTTCTCCTTGCTCACCTCCCCCAAATTTATTACTTCCTTCTTCTCCTTGTATCCATTCGATCTAGTTTCGAGTGGAATAAATTCCTCAAGGACAATATAAAGGCTGTTTTCCTCCCAGGATCGTCCGGGACGAAGTGGATCATCCCGGGACGATCTGGACAGATTGTGAAAAAATCTGCATGTTTGTCTATACGAACCTGGAACAGTCGAGACATACCGTCGGGACGAACTGAACCCGAGAGTTTCGTCCTGGGACGACGAAATTGGCATTTAATTTCGTCTAGACGATCTGGTCCAAAGGAGATCATCCCGGGACGATCGGGGACATTATCCGGGACGATCCTGCTTAAAAAATATCGGATTAATGTCATTTTGAAGAGAGAGAAAGTCCAGGAGAGAGAAAACTGAAGGGAAAAGAAGAAAAGTGGATTTTTGGGCGACTTCCGTCCGTTTTCGTCCGTCGCCGTAGTTGGAGAAGTTGATCGACTCGAAGTAAGGCACATTCCGCCTTTCTCAATTTTCAGAAATGAGAATTTTGACGACTTTTCTGTCTCAATTTTTATTTCCGTTAGTAAATTTTTGGTATTATTTTCTTCTGACAAAGGTTTTACCGCGTAGCTTTTGATATGTTTTTGAGATGATAATTATGCACGTTTTGAGTATTTTTCTGGAAGATTTTTACCATATATTTTGAATTCTGTGACGTTTTAATTGAATTGTAGGTTATGAGGATGTTGAAAAAGGTTATGTCAGTACAGTAAAAGTCTTATAATATTGTTGTGGATATTCTGTGATAATTTGGTAAATTTCTGAATCTGTGAATTTTGTGTAAATTTTGTATAGTGCCGTTACGTCGCTGATTTTTCGTACGAATTCTGATTTTTCTGAATTGATACATTAAATGAATTGAAGTATTTATATGCTATCAGAGGGGAGTTATAAGGGGCCAGGATCCTTTGAGATTCTGTAAGTGTCAGGGAAATCTGGTATGAGCTCTGAAATCTGAAAATAAGTTCTAATCCGGAATTCCGAATATCTGTTCTGTTTTGGTGCTATAAGCACAAAAGGAGACATAAGGGGCCAAAATCCATCGAGATTCTGTAAGTGTCAGGGAAGGGAGACATAAGGGGCCAGAATCCGTCGAGATTTTGTAAGTGTCAGGGAAGGGAGGTATAAGGGGTTAGAATCCGTACGATTCTGCAAGGGTCTGTGAATCTGAAATATGAAGTTTGATATCTGATAATCTGTTCTGTGACTTATCTGATCTGTTTTATGAATTATCTGATATATGATTTCTGATTTATGTACGATTCTGGTTATTCCGTACGATTCTGTCTGCTCTATAACATGAAAGCTTTATGATATCTGTTCTGAACTCTGATTTGAAATAACTTCAGTTTTCTGTATTCGTAAGCTAAATTCTGATTGAGCAAGTATCTGTTCTGCTTGTTCTATGATTTCTATACGGCTATTTTCTGATGTGAATTTCTGATTATTTTGATTGATGAGTGATGTCTTGCTGAGCTGTTAGCTCATCATTGTTTTCTACGTGGTTTTCAGGTTCTGGGAAAGGGAAGGAGGTTTTGAACTAGAAGTTCTATGTCTGATATGAGATTAGGTATTTTGTACTTTTAATTTTTGTATAGTCATGGCTGTTCTGTTCTGTTCTATTATTTCTATCGGAAGCCATTGATTGTATTGTAGATGATTGTTTTGAAGAAAAGAAAAGATAGATGAACTATTTTGTATTTGGATGTTTATAGCAGCTCTGTGTTTTTCTGTCTATTTAATATTTAGAAGAAAGTCTGAAGCAAATTCCAAAGCTAAATCCTGGATTTTTAATGGTTGTGTCACGGCCCGATGCGAGCGGGATCCGTCCCGGTCGGGTTGGGTCGTGACACACAATCATCACCTCCACCGCTCTGGCATTGATCCATCTCCAATTTCAGCCCACCGATCACTAAACCCCACCAATTCCACAACCATCAAAATGAGATAAAAAAATTTATTTTTTTAACAAAAAAAAGAACAATGAGCTGAATATAAATATGATTTGAGATCAAAAGTTCCATTTGCGAGCAGAAGCATATATAGAGGGAGTTCTCGCTTAAAAGCTTTGATCTTGCCATATTTCCAATAATATAATTCTAATATGATGGTGTTATTAATGTATATGCCAAATTACTATAAATACAAATTATTTTAATGCCGATAAAAGAAATCACACAAGGAATCATTAGACCTCAAAATGACTCATAACTCATTTATTATTTTCAATTCAAGTTGACTTTTATATAGTTCCTTACATTATACATTTATTTATTCATTATCAGTTTATTATATACCCATCACTGAGAAGATAAACACCAACCTAAGAAAATTCAGTGATTTCTTGTAGAGTCATCATCACTGTGGGGGCCCATCGACCCTGGCTAGCCAAAAATCAATAGGGTTATACTGACATACACTTAGTAAAATAGTACAATTCTTGTTATAAATAATCAGCCTGGTTATATATTTCAACATGATAATCATAATTTATATGATCAACAAGATTTATAACAGGAGTATCATTTACTACAATAAATAAAATGAATATGTGTAGACCTATGAAAGGGTACCGCTCAGCGGAGGACAAAATGCAAAGGGTTATGTGACAGCACCACCTCGATGGATGAAATGATCATAGGCCTTCATACTCTTCACAAGCGACCCAATGAAAGGGAACATTAGATCGCACATATGATTAACCATTGAGGATAGCGACTCTCGCTAATGCACCTGATAGATAGTAATATGTATGACTTGATCGAAATAGTGTGTTTCCCCACCCAATACATAAGCTCGATTAGAGATTATTTGATGGTGGAGTTCCATTTCCCATGGGCGTAAGCCCCTGTGTTTAATTACATCTCATGCTGGGGACTGAGAATACTCTCGATTAAGGATTCGACAATATTCTTTCAAGAAGGGCATTGGTACAAAGGGGAGACTAATAAATTCGAATCAAAGGGAAAGAAATGGTTCAAAGTGGCTTAGTCAACACACACGGCTCAGATCCACACTCGGAGGGATTAAGGTACCGAGAAGAGAGCAGAGAAAAGGGAAACAATGCACTCAAAGCATGCAGAGGGGAATGATGGAGGTGGCATCATCCATGTGACACGTATAGGTAGGATTTATAGCCCATGATGAAAAGAGAACATACGCACCGATGAGTCGTATTATGAGACACCAAATGTAGTAGCCTTAAACCCTAAATCTAAGGTGGGTTTAGTGTTCTACACCCAATACTAACACATGTGTCATAGATAATGCATCTGGGCTTATATCCTGCCTAAAGAAAAGCCAACTAACCATCTAAATAGATAAAATCCATGTTATCTAGTCTTTATGAAAGATGGATAGGTAGGTTGAGTGTTTTAGAAGTAAGATTGACATCTAGATAGTTTCCAAAGTAGCCTTAGTCTTATGTAGGGTGAATACTCCTAGAGGTAATGCAATTAATTTTAATTTAATGAGTTTTTAATGCTAGACATGCTTGTTAAGTATGCATAGAATTTTAAAAATAGGCTTATAGAAAATAATTTTTAGAAAAAGACTGGGCATTCCAAGATCTGGCACCTCATCCTCATATGTTAGATTATCTGGACTCTACCCGCAGGTGAGGAAGTGCCTTTTAACCAAGAAGGAGAGAAATGCAATAATATGCATGCAACTCTGAATGATTCTCGCTATTCTCTAGATCGTTAGATTTCTATATTACTTAATTCCTAAAATATTAATTTTTAGTTACGAGTAGAAATTTTTCTCAGTCCTTGAAGCTAGTGCATAGCGAGATCACGCCATGCACATGCAAGAGGGAAACTTAGAAAAACATGCAATTTCTACTACGCACATAAAATAAAGACATTCAATTTCTCCTTTCACCATTCATAAGATACATCAATGGTCTTTCTTTTAGGCTACAGTTCTAGTCCAGTTGAATCTAGCTTAAGGTCCTTCCTTAACTTCCATTTTTTCTTAAGTTGGTCTCATTTATTATTTAGTTGTGCTTTGTCGTAGACCTTTACAATTTTCTTATAAAAGTTCTTCATCAAATTGCTCCAATCTTCTTTATTAAAATATATTGTTGGACGATTGCCAAGATCTCTTCCCTATACCAAAATCATAAAAAATTATCTTAATATCCCGCTCCCATATCGCAGATGCTTCATCATTCTTCAATTTTCTCATTTTTCGTAACCTAAGAAAATATGAGTAATCAAATCTTCGTTCAATTCATCAAATCTTTGTAATCAACAGAAATTTTTATATTAGTTATAAGAAATTATGAGTAATATAATAAAAT